TTCGACTCGGAGTGATCGATATCTTCATGTTTTATAATAATATTCTTGTTATTAAATTTCAAATTTTTGAATATCTTAATTTTTATGAAAAAAGTAATGATTAAATATTTATTTAAAAATGAAGTTATTGATGTTTTCGAATAATTTTCTGGAAAAATTTCCTTTTTTTAACCTGGAAAAGTCAGGGAATTTGAAAAGAGCAAAAGCGTCGCAATCTTGAAAATATTTAAGAAAGAATAGAATTTTTAATAAGAGTTTAATTAAATTGAATTGAAATTTATATAGAAATGAAAAATAAACGCCAGAAAATTGTAAAAAATTTAAATGCTACCTATTTATAATTTAAATATCGTCATTCTCTATTTTTAATGAGGTTTTAGTGTCCCCCATATATTAAAATTTGTATAAATTGTTATATAATTAAAGCGAAAATACTGCTCTTTAAAATAGTCGCATCTCTCATAAAAAGCTCATGAACGTCTTTTTGTGTATGATGTTTACTTGCCTTAGAGACAAAGTTATGCTAATGTCTTCCAAGATATCTGTGTGTAAATTCACATGACTCAAAATTCTCTTGTCTGTCGTTTTACTACTCGAAAATGTTTAAACACCTCGAAAATTATTTTTATATAATCCATAAGTGAAATCATCAAAATCAATAAATTTCCCAATTTTATTGACGTTTGGGGTATTTCTTTATAAAAATACCCATTTTCTCGGTTCGAGAGAAAAATCAAGGTTAGAAAACCTTGAAAATCTCTAGGTTTCCAAATTTCTTCTTTTTCTTCTTCTTCAAAAATTAAAATCACTAATTTTATAGGCAATAAAATACTTTGAATTGAAATTATTATTTTTTGAAAGGCTGCAAGAGCAAAAGAGTAAGGCTGTAAGAGTAAAATAAAATTTGTAGCATCAAGAAATAAATTTTAATGTAATTCTATTATTTTTTTGAATTATGTTATTAAAATACAATAAGGAATGGAATAATTCAGAGAAAAGAAAATGAAATAAATTTAACGGACGATTAAAAACTGTAAATTAGTAAATAAGGGAATAAAATCAATACCAGGTTTGCATTCAATTCAATTGTCCTTTTGAAATGTTATATTTTCAGGTACTAGTGGCAGCGTCACGCGACGACCATCAAAAGACCTTTGAACTTTGAGCTCCCCAGTGAACGTGTGCAAAATTATAACCACCCTTATATGAATTTTCCCCAAGATAGGAGAAATTCCCACATTGTAATTTTAAACTTATTTCTATTTAGTCTAGAAAATATTTTAAATTACAAAAGAATGGAAATTCTAGTTGGAGACGTATTATAAATTATATATATATATGCATATTAAAAAATAATTCCAAGTACATACGGCATTGGCAATTGTCAAAAGAAAATATTGCGGCAATACTCAGAACATCTTTACAGGTGAACTGGGGTTTAAAATATTATCTCGTCTTAATTTTAAATCTTTAAATTAACCTCAAACATTAACTGTTCACATTTACCCGAAATGTGTTTATAAAATCGTCTAGAATCAACATACTGTGAAGATTGTGAATAGGAGCATAGGGCTATGACATTTTGTCAGACAGGCACTATTCCAAAAATTGGAATTCTAGGTAACATTTTTTGGAGTTGTGCCGAGAGAACGACTCAAGATAAGATCGTCAATTGTCATTATTGTCAATGACTTGCATCAAATGAAATGAGGACGTGTCTTAAAATAGAAATTTCATTTCTTTCATCATACAAAGTGTGCAAAACAAAAGTTTCCAAATTTTTATATTCTATTCTATTTTAGGACATATTGATTGTTGTTGAAATTAAAGTAGAATTATCACATAATTATTTAGCACCTATTTTTTTAGTAATCACGGTAAATTATTTCAGAACTCGGATTTACTTTAAGGTCCCAAAAAAAGACGATCCACAAGTTTTGAACGTTCAAATGAACGAAATACTTTTTATTAAAAATATTTTCAGAAATTGCTGATTGCAATTAAAATTAAAAACTTTAATTTTATATTGAGAAACTTTATTATTAATTTTATTCACAGTGACACAAAATATCGCAATGAAAATTTAATTTGAAGAAGAAAAAAATAAATTTCGTTCATTTGAACGTTCAGAACTTTAGGATCATAAAAAAAGTGTTATTTGTCGATTAAGAATACAAAGAAAGTCGATATCCCTAAAGATGGATTTAACTTGAAAAAAATTTATTTGTTTTTTTTTCTTTTTAAACGTTGGAGACTTCAGCTTCATCAAAACTTGAATAATTTTGTTAATATTTAAATACTCGCTATCTACTTTTCTGTAGGAATTAAAATCTTCAAAAATTTCCATTTTCTTCTGAAATCTGCAAATACACTGGAATCTAGATCGGTGAGACTAATCGGGGATGGCTTCTCACCGATCTAGCGGATTAGTTGAGACTGAGAAGCAACACAAACAGGGCCGTACGAAGTATTTTTTGTTTGCACCATTCTTTTAAAAAATAATTCATGTTAGAAAATTAATATAAATAACAAAATATTATAAAACATTATACAAAAATAAAATGTATTTATATTAAAAAGAAAAAAAAGTAAATAATGATGAAGTTATCAAATAAAATAAATAGCATCGGGCACTAAGAACCTTTTTCTTCTACAATTAGGCACGGCATTGATCGACATTTGAAAGTCCCCGCTAGCCCTCCACCTTTCCTCGCCTACAAACTATGTAAACAGAGTCTCAACGATCCCGAGCTCACCGATCTAGATTCCAGTGTATTTTCAAAAATAACAATTATAATTTTTTCAAAATTCAATTATTTTCTGTAGAATTTGAAACTGAACTTTTTTAATTCATATTTGTGCTAATTCATCTCTAATTCAATTTTCAATAATTTTCCAAAAGTTCCACGAGAATTCAAATGTTTAAAATAATTGTAACTGAACTTATTCATAATTTTTTTTCTAAAAAACGTTATTATGGTAAATTATTGAAAATAAGCAGAAAAAACAGAAAATAATAATTGATTTCAAAAAAATTATAATTCACAAATTCTTAAAATTTGTTATTGCAAAATATTTTTAAAATAATTTTTGAAAGATAATAGATTTTTTAAATTATAAACGAAAAAATTACAAATAATTGAAATTTAGTAAAATTATTTAAAAATAATTGAAAATGTAAAAAAATTGTTTGCAAACTCTATTAAAAAATAAACAACTTTTTGAAGAATTGAAATTAAAAATTATGAAAATGATCATAAATTTTAATAATTAATATTTAAAATGATTTTTTTTAATTAAAAAAAAAATTTTTTTTAATATTTTTGAAAGATAATAGATTTATCAAATTACAATTAAAAATAAAAAAAAAAATTACAAATCCAAAGAAAATAACATCGTAATATATATAATTAAAAAAGTTACAAATAATTGAAATTTAGTAAAATTATTTAAAAATTTTGAAATTGATCCAAAATTTTAATAATTATTATTTAAAATTAGTTTTTTTTAATTTAAAAAAATATTCTTAAATTTTTTTGAAAGACAATACATATTTTAAATTATAATTGAAAAAGTTACAAATAATTGAAATTTAGTAAAATTATTTAAAAATTTTGAAAATGATTCTAAATTTTAATAATTATTATTTAAAATTAGTTTTTTTTAATTTAAAAAAATATTTTCAAAATATTTTTGAAAGATAATAGATTTTTTAAATTATAAACGAAAAAAATACAAATAATTGAAATTTAGTAAAATTATTTAAAAATAATTAAAAATTTAAAAAAAAATTTTGCAAACTCTATTAAAAAATAAACAACTTTTTGAAGAATTGTAATTAAAATTTTTGAAAATAATCCAAAATTTGAAAAATTATTAATTAAATTAAATAATTATTATTTAAAATTAGTCTTTTTTTTAATTTAAAAATATTTGAATGTTTGGAAATATGTAATTGAAAATATTGAAAATATTTAAAATAAAATAAAATATTAAATATTATATAAAATATTAAAAGTTTATAATGGAAAAATTCTAGAAATTACGTTTTAAAAAATAATTTATTATAATTATGTTTTAGAGATAATTTCCATTAATTTTCATTTTCAAAATAAATTCGAAGATTTGCATTCAAACTTTTGAGATTTCAATTATTGACAAATTTTTGCAATTAGAATTCTTCAAAAATTGATTATTAAAAATTTTAATGCAATACTTGAACAAAATCAAATTTTCTTTGAATAAAAGTTGACAAAATCTCAATAATTTAAAAACTTTTTAATTGTATATTTCGAAAAATTCGCATTTATTGTCAGAGTGAGAAAATCTTGAGAAAATCAAAACGAGCTGTTTTTTGTTTAAAATAATTCTTATTTTTTTGCAGTAAGTATTTGGCGTATTTGAACAAAAGTCGAAAAAGTCGCATTTTTTGAAAATAATCGAGAAAAGTTCAAAAAGCCTGTTATTTAAATTTAGAAAACGTGTGAATTAGAAGACCACTTTATTTCTTTCTTTTCTTTGTCTTTTCTCTCTTATTTCAACTTTTACTTCACTTTCTTTGTTATTCTTTCAATAGAAACTTTTCGTTTCTAAAACATTTTTAAAAATATAAATAGACTCTCTTTGTCTATATTTATTTGCACGTCAATTATAAATTTAGATTAGTTTTAACACACTAAATAGAAAAAGGCACTGTATAGATATTTCAATTTCAAAACATTTGTTTCAGAAAATTAAAAACTTTCCTTCAATAATAATTAAAAACTTCAATACAATTTTTAATTTATTTTGCGATTATATTTTTATCTACTTACAAAGTTAATTTTTTTCTCATATGAATTTGTGATGTGAAAACAGTATTGCACGTGACGTGAATTTATATTTTAGGTCTTGAGGTTAGAGAGGAAATCACGACACCGACACGGAAATAGTTTGTAGTCGAGTGTTATAATATCGATTGAAAATTATTATTCTCTTAAAATAATATTTTTTAGACTCACCTGTCCAAAATGTGTACCTGGTCCCTGAGCACAAGAAGGTATCGCAGCCTCTTGAAAAAATATACTAAGTGCAGTCTGCAAAAAAGAAAAATCGAAAATTTAGTGTTTTTGTAAATAAGAATTAAAAATTAAAAATTGATAATTAAAAATTGAAATTTAAAGTTTAGAAATTTTGTAATTAATTTTTTTATAGACGCAAAATTATTGTAGTCAAATTTTAATCAGAAGAAGAAATAAATAAACAAATAAAATAACATCACAATATAAAAGAAATAAATAAACGTTTGGAAATTAAATTTAAATTTTATTTGAAATACTTTCATTTCTCAGTTGAATTATTATATAATCAAGATAATATTTTATCCACTGTATAAATATCTTTTAGTATCTTTAATAAAAGTTAATAAATAAAAATGAACTCTAATAAAGAGAAAAAAGGGGAAAAAAAATCTTAAGGTGTATAAGAGAAGATTTGATTCCATAAATCAGTTCAATTTATCCGAGTCTGATTGCTAACGTCAGATATACGAGGATTAATGCAACATTTCAAGATTTTTTTCCATCTCACTACATTGTTAGTGGTAATTGTAAATAAGTGAAGAAGAATTCTGCAACATCCTTTAATACATAGTTATATGAAGACTTCAATGACTGCGAGCAATCAGCAGACTATACTATCGTATATAATTCGAACTTATAAACAATGAGCATGTGGCAGTTTCAACTTCTCCGTCTTGAATTTTAAAATGAGAGATAATATACAGTCAAGGAGAACAAAACTAAACTTTATGATTTCACACAACCGCGTACAAGTTCTGGAATCAAGGACATAAACTCTCAGGGGGCGGGGATCAAACCCTTTTACTCTCTCTCACACCCTGATCAATTGTTTTAATTATAACCTATCGATTCTAAATACCATTGACTGCAAAACTTTTCAAAAATAAATATCTCTGCAAAAACGTGAAAAAATAAACTTCAAGTAAACAATTGTAAAACTAATTTCTGATCTTATTGCAAATGTCAGTTTTCCTATACCGAAATTATTTATACAATGGAAGGAATGCTTTTCAAAATGCATTTTGAAAAGAAATTTTAATCAATAGTGTGTCACGTACAAATTTGCAAGTATAAAATTTCTTGCAAACTGCAACAACTTTATGATTCGTAAGTTCACATCGCACAGTCGGAATCCCCCACTTATTACATAATTCAATTGAATTGTACAATGTTTTATCGTATTCAAAGGTCAAACATTAATCATCGTGCTGCATATATTTTTGTTTACATTGCAGAAAATTTTTATTATCACCGCTTGGTGATATACATCTATCCTCTTTAAATTTAATTAACTTTAGTTTAAACGCCAGCATCAGTTGAACGATCATTATTTATCTTCCAAGACCGAGAAGTGTCAAAATGCAAAAACTAATCAATTTCCCATTAACGCTAATAATTACCTACTTGGAAAATTTATCAACAATAAATATTCACTAGTGAAAGTGATGGAAAACAAAATTTAATGAAAAAGAAAATTCAATGAAAGTGACAGTAAACAAATTTTAAAGAATAGAAAAAAAGTAAAAACCCTAAAAAATAAAATTTTTTTAATAAATTAATCCGAAACAATTGCAATCGAAAAAGAATTAACAGAGCTTTTTGTAAATACCACAAACACAAGGTCAATGCGCTATACAAAATAATGACACCTCAAGGAATCGAGTCTGTTGACAAACAAAACCGACTGAAATGCATTTCATGAATGAAACTTTTGTCAAATTTAGATCAATAAAAAATTTAAATTCAAATTTACAATTAAAAAGTAAAGAATTGAAGAAGAACATTTTACCGAACTCATATCAAGAATTCCGAACTATTCGACTGTTTGGAAACAATCTACTATTTTTATGAATGGAAGCTCGTAAACATGAGTATATCGTAGATCTTCCGTCATTGACGGAAAGCAATAAATATGGACGGAACCATGTTACCGCCCATGAAAATCTTTTCATCACAATTGACAGATGACTTAAACAAAGAAATCCAAGTGTTGTGCGCATTGTCATAATACTAAACAGTGGGAAAACATTGTCGAAAATGAGATGGAAGTTGCATTTGAACTGCCTTAAGCGGCCATTTTTCCTCGCTTTGTTTACACATAAAACGAGATTAAATAAACAACCATACTGTAGGGGATTTACTATTTATTCAAAGGGATTCTCACCTCAAATTGCCAATGAGCCGCCTGCAATAATTGTTTAGCTTGTTCTCGAGCACAGCCAGCAGCCAGCATGAATTGATTGATCATAACATGCTCCCGCAGGGCGTCCATTTTTTACGCACGGAACAAAAACACACACACCGCGTATAATAAAGCACACGTATATTTGTCTGTCGCCAAGAAAGCACACCTTTATTAGTCAAAAATCATAAACAGCACTCACAAATAAATGGTTTTTTTATTTTTTCACTCAAAGCAAAACACAGTTCGCGACTAGTGAAACGATGGCCGGCGATGAACTATGTTTTATTAACTCATCTCAGGGGACGAGACGAGCTCTGACGTCAGGAAGACAGAGGCTATTACTTTACGTGACTATCCTCCCTCTTGTTTAAGAGAAATCCACTTGACGAACATTTTCCCTAATAACAGGTATGTAAACTTGGTGTTCACTTTGGTTCACTTTGGTTTACTTCTTTCATAGCTTTCATTAAATGATTAAATCATTTTGATTTTTCAATATTTTATCAAAGTATTTTTTTCAGTTCACTTCTAATTGTTTTACTTTAAAAATTATCCCATTTTTAGAGAAATTTCTCCTGAATTGATAAATTGCAATGGTTGTGGTTCCCTGTGATTACGAATACTGTCATGGATATGTTTTGTTAATATAAATCGGTAATGCATGTATCTTTTTTATCGATTTGGTTATATAAATTTTCTAAATAAAAGTGTTATTTTCTTCCTTCTAGAGAGCGTAACCTATTGGATTTGCTATCACGTGATAATTATTTTGTTATCAAAAAGAATAAGTTGCGGGGGAAATGTTGTCTCTGTCTGGATGACACATCTCTGACAGTTGACAGTCAATAATGTCAACTTTTTATTATTGAACTAATTGGTAGATTTTTTTTAAGAAAAAAAAAATAATAGCAGGTAATTTTTACACTTATTTATTTCTAATAAAAGTAATTAAAATTTTATCGAAATTTGAAGCGGAGAAAACTTTATAACCTATAAATTCTATCAAATATGGGTTGAAAAACAGTTGTAATTTATTTTGTGCATTTTATGACAACTACTTTTTTAATTTCTCAGTAATCTTTTGTATTTTTTGATAGAATATTGTTTGTATAGACTAGAAAATGATTATTTTATCACAGTTAGAAAATTTTGTCATATGTTGTAAACTGACATAACCTATAACTGTCATTTTCGTCTTTGTTTCTTTCGTTTCTTTTTCCTTTTGCTTCGATGGCAAAATTTGGTAAAATAAATTAAAATGTAGATATTTTAATTAAATTGAATAATTATTATTATTATTGTTGTTGCTATTATTATTATTAATTTATTATGATTCTATTCTAGATTTCTGAAATAAATAATCAAAAATGGATACCGTGGAGCAAGAAGTTAATGACGATTATTATTTACAATTATCGTCTGATCCTATAAAATTCGAATCAGTGAGTTGTCTGACAAATGTCTTTTTTGACGATTCGAAACAACAAGTTTTTGCGATTCGATCTGGTGGTGTGACAGGGGTGCTAATTAAAGGGCCAGATGAGAATATAAGTTTTCGAATGGAGGACAAAGGTCCTATTATTTCTATAAAGTTTTCACCTGACATGAATATTTTGGCAATTCAACGAAGTACATCGTCCGTTGAATTTGTTAATTACTCACCTTCAGCAGTATTGGACGGCGTAGAATATTCGCAATCGTGCAAAAAGAATGCCTCTATTTTAGGATTCGTTTGGACTTATGGCAATGAAATTCTATTCGTTACCGATCATGGAGTAGAATTATTTCTTGTACGTAATAATCTTCCTTTTTTTTCTTTTGAATTAATTTCTATTTGTTATTTTCTATTATTATTATTAATAACTAGCAAATGTTACGGAACGTGATATTCAATTTATTATTATTATTATATGCAAATTGCAAAATTTTTTATTTTCAATAATTTCAGATTCAAACTTTAAAAAAATTCAATTATTAACTAATTTACTAATTAATTATTCTTGTTTATTAATTTAAAAAATTTTAATAAATTTCTTCACAAGAAATCAATTATTTTCATAAATAATAACATTCTTAGTGAGAATTCAATTTTATTTTTTAAATAGTAAAATTTTTTGCAAAAATTCAATTATTTTTAAACAAAATTTTAATAACATTTCACGAACGAATTCAATTATTTTCTAAAATTTTAATAAATCCTTCGAAACAATTCAATTATATTTATAAATAATATTAAAATTAGTATGTTTTTAGGACCTTAATTTTTGTCAAATACTGTTTTTTGATTGTGGCCTTGGGTCCAATAATATTAAATAAATTGCACGAAAGAATTCAATTTTTTTCTTAAATTTGTTATAAAGTCTGCAAAAATTCAATTATTTCAAAAAAAAAATTCACGAAACAATTCAATTTTATTTATAAATAGTAAAATTCTTTGCAAAAATTCAATTATTTTTAAATAAAATTTTAATAACATTTCACGAACGAATTAAATTATTTTCTAAAATTTAAATAAATTCTTCCGAAAAATTCAATTATATTTATAAATAGGTAAATGTTTGCACAAAAATTCAATTATTTTCAAAAAAATTTCACGAAAGAATTCAATTTTTTTCTTAAATTTGTTATAAAGTCTGCAAAAATTCAATTATTCCAAAAAAAAAATTCCCGAAACAATTCAATTTTATTTATAAATAGTAAAATTCTTTGCAAAAATTCAATTATTTTTAAATAAAATTTTAATAACATTTCACGAACGAATTAAATTATTTTCTAAAATTTAAATAAATTCTTCCGAAAAATTCAATTATATTTATAAATAGGTAAATGTTTGCACAAAAATTCAATTATTTTCAAAAAAATTTCACGAAAGAATTCAATTTTTTTCTTAAATTTGTTATAAAGTCTGCAAAAATTCAATTATTTCAAAAAAAAAATTCACGAAACAATTCAATTTTATTTATAAATAGTAAAATTCTTTGGAAAAATTCAATAAACAATTAATAAAATTCATAAAAGAATTCAATTTAAAAAAAAATTTTAATAATATTTTTCGAAAAAATTTAATTATTTTCTTAACTTTTAATAAATCCTTCGAAACAATTCAATTATATTTATAAATAATCAACAAACACGATTATTTTAAAAACTTGAAAAAATTGTTTATAAAACTCAATTATTTTCAAAAATTTTAATTAAAATTATTAAAGAAATTCCAATATTTAAAGAAAAAATTAAAAGAAATTCTTCAAAAAAATCTAATAAAAATTTTCAAAAATTTTACTAAAATTCTTCACGAGAATAATTACATTAATTTAGTATATCAATAAATTAATTTAAAAATTGAAAATGAGAAACAATTCTTAAAAAGTTGATAAATCCATTTTTCAAAAAAATTTAGATAAACACATATTCAAAATATTAAAATCCTTAGAAATCGATTTCTCACTTTTCAATTTAAGAAAAAAAATGTATTACCAAAGAATTTTCAATATAAAAAATCTTGGTCTAATCTTAATGATTTTTAATTTTAATTTTTTTTTATTAGAAAAAATTACCAAAACCTTTAAATTCCTTTATTACAATAGACTTTAATTAGAAACAGAGCGTTTTATAATAAATAATTTATTACAATTTTTCTACATTAAAGTTAATTTTAATGTTTATGTTTATGTCATTTGTTTAAATTTCTCGAAATGACAAAATTTGGATTTATCGGGTTTTGAAAACTTACTTCTTAAATAGGTATTTAAAAAGAAAAATGATTTAAAAAGTTAGGAAACAAAAAAGCAAACAACAAGTAACTTCAAACTGCGAACAGATTACCGGAATACAACGATTATTAATATTGTTGAAGATAGAAGATTTTTGTTGGTTTTAGTCGAAAATTGACTTTTGCTTGTTTTCTACTTGTTGTTTTTTATTTTATGTTCTTGAAATTTGTAGTAATCTTTTTCTAAAATTCAGGTTGTACCGGAAAAACGGTGTATAAAAACTCTTAAATCGTTGAGTTTATCTGTCCACTGGTTTGTATTCTGTCCGCGAAGTTATCTGGTTTTATTATCTTCGGGAAGCTCTGGCAATCAAATGCAGGCATTGCATATAACATCGGGAAATCTACAGAAGATAACAAAATTTGAAAGTAAGTTTTACAACTTTTAGTTTTTTTTTATTATTGACTACAACTCTCTGCGCACGTTTTGTAATAGGATCTTTTTAGTGGAAGCGGGAACAACAAAACCGGGAAAACTTGCAGTTTCTGAAAGAGATGTTGCTTTAGCTGTTTTATATGGAACACCTTGTATAATTGTCTTACGCCATCAACCGGGAATTAATCGTTCAGTTGGTTCGGCGTTTGTTTACGTGTATACGGTTCATAAGTGAGTCTTTGAATTTTTTCTAAATTTTGTTTTTAATTTTATTCTTAAATTTTGCTTTAAATTTTTTTAGATTTTTATTAGTCCCCTGATTGTCGACACTCATCATCGAATATTATTTTTGAGAAAATTTTTCTCTCATTCAGCTAAGGAAGTAAAAAAATTTTTAAGAATACTTTGGAAACATTTAGTGATATTTTTCGGTTTCGTGAAAAAAATATTTTTCGATGCTCAGCGTCGACGCAAATTTCAGGACCTTTTTTTGGTCGATTTGGATTTGATTTGTGAAATAATTATTTGAAATATTGCAGAATGGTGACTATAAAGAAAACTCATATTCTGAGGCTTGATATGAGTGGAAGGTTCGCTCTGAATGTTGTAGATAATTTAATTATTGTTCATCATCAAGCGTCAAAAGTAAGTGTGCATTTGCAATCCTATTTAAAGGATTTATGTAAATCAAGTTAGAAATCTAATGTGCTGATTTTGGAAAAACAATTCTATTTGAATAGACCTCGATGGTTTTCGATATTATGCTTACCTCAGTGGGAGTGAGCGATGGAGCTGTGATTCATCACACTGCTGTTGCAGTTCCGAAGCCAATTAAGCCTTATAGTTTAAAAGTGCCTGGTGCAACTGTACCTGTTATGCAACCCTGCCAATTATGTATCCTTTTAAACTATTCAAGACAAAATGGAATATTTTTTAGAAGAAAAAAATTACTTTCGATATTTTTAATATTCTAATAACAGAGTTTCTACTTAAATCCTTGAATTCTTCTGGATTTTTTTTTTATTTTCAAAACTATTCAATTACTATGAATTCTATAAGAAAATCTCGATTTCCTCTAATTTCTGTAAATAATTCTACTTAAAGTTATTATATATTTCCTTAATCAAAATCAATTTAGATTCTCCGAATTGGGTTGTATTTCAACCAAATATTGTAATTGATGTAAAATTAGGTTGTCTATGGTAATATTCTTGCATTTTTTAAACTTTCTTAATTCTCACTTTAGAGAGTATTTTTGTATCATATTATTAATCAACATTTTAATTCTTTTAGGTACATTGAATTGAGACTTGAATCATTCATAAAACTGATAACTGACAAAGTACTTCTTATAGATTTTCTTCTACAACGAAAAGATGCGAAGCAATTGTTGATTCAAGTTTTACAAAGTCTTATGACCCAAATGCCAAATACTCTAATTGACATGCCGATTATTTTCGATAAACTTAATACCGTCTATAGAAGTCATCTCGAAAATGAATTGCAGTGTCAGGTATGGATACTAATTACCGAAACTTAAAAAAATTTAATCTACAGTCGTCTTTCGACAATTAAACTAATTTCGATAAATTGAAGTTCATTTTTAGTCCCTAGAAAAATTTTTCATACAGAAAATATTTGATAATTAAAAACATCATTCGTTAATTTATCAAAAAATTCAACTTTTTTCGACTTATTTTCCAAAAATTGCAAAAAAAATGCCACATTTTTAGTATAAAATAAAACTTCTTTCGATTTTTATAATGAGAAAAGTATAAATAACAATATAGACAAATCTTTCAAAAACTATTTTTTAATAATTTTTCTAATTAAATTTTCGAAATATACAATTAAACAATTTTTGAGTAATTGAAATTTTGTAAAATTTAATTTAAAATAACTGATTTTTTTCTATAAGTATTTTATTATAATTGTTGAAAATCAACTTTTGGCGAAATTTAATTAAAAATTTTTATAATAATTGAATTGGCAAAAATTTTAATGAAAAATCTTCAAGTCTAAATTTATAGAAATAAAAATAAATGAAAATTAGCTTCTAAAAATTATACTAAAATATTTTTCGAAAAAAGTAGTTCTTAGAAATTTTTAATTCTAATATTTTAAAATTCAATTCTTTTCAATATTTTTAATTACATATCTCGGAATATTCAAATACATAAATAAATACAAAAAATAATACAAATATCATGTTTAAAATTTTTAATTAATATTCTTCAAAAAATTAATTAGTTTTTGTCTTAAGTTATACAAAAATTCTTTTAAGAAATTCAATTATTTTCGAAAAATTAGATTACAATATTTTTAAAAAAATTAATTCTTAGAATGATTTTATAAAATTTAAATTATTTATTAAAAATTTTACTAAATTTCAATTATCTTTAAAAGATTTTATCAAATTTCAATTATTTTTAAAAAGCTTTTATCAAATTTCAATTATTTTTTGTAAAGATTTTTTCAAATTTCAATTATTTTTTAAATATTTTACCAAATTTCTTTTATTTTTAAAAGATTTTATCAAATTTTAATTGTTTTAAACAGATTTTACCAAATTTAAATTATTTTTAACAGATTTTACCAAATTTAAATTATTTTAAACATTTTTTATCAAACTTCGATTATTTTTTTTAAAGATTTTATCAAATTTCAATTATTTTAAAAAGATTTTACAAAATTTTAATTATTTGGAAATGTTTTAATTGCATATAATTGAAAAACTATTATCTTTCAAAAATTATTTTCAAATATTTTATTAAAAAATTAATTTTTAGAATTTCTTTTATTATAATTTTTAGAAAATATTATATCTTAATTACTTTTATAAAAAAGAACAGTTACAGTTACAATTATTACAAAAAATTGAATTTTTTTATTTAAATAATTTAATTCTCGAAGAATTTTCGGAAATTTTTTAAAAATAATTGTTTTAGAGATGAAGTTTAGTTAAAAATTGTAGAAAATAATTAAGGTTTAGAAGAGTTATAGTTGTAGAAATTATTAAATCCCAAAAGATTGTAAATTGAAACTTTTTTAAATTTGTTTTCCTCGTGAAAAAATAAATAAGAAGTGTTTAAAAATTTATTTAACAAAATTATTCAAGTTTTGAATATTTTAAAATCAGGGAATATAGAAAATAAAATTTTTGTGATAACACTGAATTAAATGAACGACTTTTTCGACTTTTTTGTATTTTTAATCTACTAAAGCGACTGTTTTTTTCGCCTTAAAGTCGATCCGAGACCTGTTAGTTAGAAGCGTCTCTTGATAAATTGAATTTTAAGGCACATGAAAAAAAATCCAAATTATCGAATGTTTTTAGTATCAAAAATTTTTCTAGAGACTTAACGTCAAATTCAATTTACGGAAAGTTTAATTATCGAGAGATGACTCTTTGAAAAAGAATATTTTTAATCTTATGAAATTTGTTCGAAATTATTTTCTAGATGAATTCTAGTAAAGAATATTTTTAATCCTATGAAATTTGTTCGAAATTATTTTCTAGATGGGAACACCTTTACTGAGCAATACAAAAAATCAGAATGACGAGTCTGAAAATTTAAAGTATAAATTATTACTCGATCAAAGTGATATGTACAGTTTGTATGTATTTCCCGAAAATACGATAGAGCCAAAAATGATAATTTGGGTACTTCTTGAATATATAAGGTAATTAGAAAAATTGTAATAATTTTAATTTTCATTTCAATCTGCGCTCTACTATTTTGTATTGAAAGTTGAACAATCAAATGGAAACTATTGGTCGTTTACAGATCCTTGACAGAGCACGGTATTCCCGTACAGCACTATTTACATGAACTAGTTATAACTACTTTAGTTCAACGGAAAGCTTATTATCAACTTCATCAGTTGTTACAATACCACGTTGTTACTGATTCAAAGCCACTAGCTTGTTTATTACTTTCCCTTGAGAATTTATATCCAGCAGCGCATCAACTTGCATTAGACATGCTCAAACGCCTAGGAAATGCACATGAGGAAATAATTGAAGTCTTATTATCCAAAGGACATATTTTGCCCGCTCTGAGGTAAGAGACACTGATCAAATATTTATTCTATTAGAGAAAATTAATTTTTCTTTTACTTTCCAGATACGTTAGATCAGTGGGAATAATTGATCGAGTGTCGGCTAGAAAATTTCTCGAAGTTGCAAAAGCAAAAAATGAAAATCTCCTGTTTCATTCGGTCTTTGAATTTTTCGAGCAAAGAAACTTGAGATTACACAATACGACAGCATTTCAAAAAGGTGAACATTGTCAGGCGTATGTGCAACATTATAAACAATTATTTCACGAGGCAGAAAACAGTTCTATTTCTGACACTAATTCCAATATTTCCTCAACTTCATAAAATAAGACTGAAAAGGCTATTATTATATTTTTTAGTTGAAATATATTGATAATAATTTACTAAAAGAGAATAATGTACAGTTATATACAATGAAGAATTAATAATGATAAGTATTTAAATAAACTGAGGTCAGTATATTTAAAAAAGAAAAAAATGATATCCTTTATTTCAAAAACATCATTCAGGTGTATTCTGAATAATGATGGTACAATAATTACTCAGTTATTGGAATTCGGTGAAACGACATGTTCCAATTACGATTTGCAAAGAGTCGCTCAACCATTAGTATTCTAATGAAAATCGATAAGCATTCTTCATCCATCACTTGATTTCTGCGTCAAATTCTTCTTGATAATAAAAATATTATGACCAATGCTCTCCAACTGTCGTGATATTATCGATTTTTACATATAACAGGCCTCGGATCGAATGGTATGACTTTTACGACTATTTTCAAAAAATCCGCTTCTTTCGACTTATTTTCGAGAAACAGCGACTTATTCGACTTTTCTTCCAAATACTGCACGAAAATACCACTTAAAACATAATTTATTTCCATTTTTATATTCTGAAAGCAAACAGTAGTCAAATCTTTCAAAAATTGGTTTTCAGTAACTTTTTAAGATAATTAAATTTTTTAATATAAAATTCTTAAATAATTAAAATCTTGTAAAATTTTATTTAAAATAATATTGAATTTTGCTTCCTCATAGAGGAAGGATTGTATTTTTAAAGCAGTTTATTAAAATTTCTGAATATCAAATTTTGAAGAATTTGAATTACAAATTTTGAAAATAATTTAATTTTCAAAAGTTTCAATGAAACATCTTCAAGTGAAAATTTAAAAATGAAAATTAATAAAAATGATCTCTAATATAATTATATCAAAATATATTTAATGAAAATAATTTTTATAGACATTCTTCTTTGAAAACTTTTTTAATTCGATAATTTTCAATATTTTTAACTACAAATTTCTGAAAATTCTAATATCTATTCAAAAAATAATTGAATTAATTTGTAATTAAAAGTTACAATTTTTTAAATCTAGAATTTTTTTGAATTATTAAATTTTTTGAAAAACATAATCATCTTGAAAATTTCTAATTAAAAATTCTTCTGAAAAATTAAATACTTTCTTAAATTGTCCAACAATTATTTGAAGAATCATTTTTGTTATTTACTATTAATTTAATTAAATATAATTAAATTTTATTTTAATTATTATTTAAAAATGTAATTCAATTGTTTTGAAAAATTTCTTTCAATTTTTCATCAAATAATCCGGTTGGTTAAGAATTGTAATTAAACATTTAATTATTAAAATTTATTAAAATGTTTAGGAAATAATTAATATTTTTCAGATTTTTTTTACAATTTTTTTAAATAATTGAATTTATTCAAGAAATTTTATTAAAATATTAAAAATAATTAAATTCTTCCGATAAATACAATTAGTTTTTGACAATAATTGAATTCTTTTGAATCATTTCTTTAATTTTTTTTCGTTATAATCGACTTTTTAAAAAATTGTAGGTAATTAATACCTACATAATTTTATTATTAAAGTTTATTAAAATTTTATGAAAATAATTGAATAATTGTAAAAAATTTTATTAAAATGTTTAAAAAGAATTAAATTTCTGTGAAAAATTTTGTTATTTTTGAAAATAATTGAATTTTTTATAAGAATTTTATAAATATTGTTTTAAATAATTAATTTTTTTGAAATATAATAAATATTATGAAAAATTTTATTTTAAATAATTGCATTCTTGTGGAAAACTTTATTTGTCAAAATAATTGAATTTTTTGAATAATAAGTTTAAAATAGCATTAAAAATAATTGAAATTCTTCGATGAGTTTTATTATTCATAAAATTAATTGAATTCTTACGAAAATTTTTATAAAATTTCTTTTTAAATAATTGAATTCTATTGTGAAATTTTATTCAAATAGTAAACATTAAAAATAATTGAATTTTGACAAATTTTTGAAATTAATTCAATTCCTACGAAAAATTTTATTAAAACTATTTTTAAAAAAATTGAATAATTGCAAAGAATGTCATTAAAATTTTTGAAAATAATTTAATATACTCTGATGAAATTTAATTAAAAATGTGTTGAAAATAATACTTAAATTCTAATAAATAAATTGTAACAAAGGTTTTTTAAAATAATTGAATTCATTCAAAAAATTTTATTAAAATATTAAAAATAATTAAATTCTTAAAATGAATACAAGTTATTGAAAATAATTGAATTCTTTCAAGAAATTTTGTAAAAATTGTACTGAAAATAATTGAATTCTTTCAAACAATTTTAAAAAAAATTTTTGAGAATAATTACATTTTTTTTAGAAAAATTTAATATTTAATTTAATTAATCATTAAAAATATTTTAATTTTTGTAAATAAATTTTTTAAAATACTTTTTAAGAATAAATGAGTTGTTATTGGGGAAATTTTAAGAAATTTATGTTAAATATAATTGAAAATTCCAGCGAAGAGTTTTATATTTTGAAAATAATTGAATGCTTCCGAAAAATTTTACTAAAATATTTGAAAATAATTAAATCCCTTCGAGAAATTCAAATTTAATTGGATTTTTGTAAAGAATTTTATTATAAAATTTTAGAAAATAATAAATAATTATAATTGATAGTTAATAAGTGAATTTTCAAAAATTTTAAATCTGAAATTACTCAAAATATCGCCTGTCTTAAGGGTGAATAGATAATGATTTAGAAAAAAAGAGAAATGAAGCCAAAATTAAAAGGTTTTTATAGTTTTTCATAAAACTACTCTACTTACATTATTGATCATAAAATTAACTATTTAAGATAAACTAAAGTACTATTTGAACTCAACAATAAAAAAATTACATTTTTTTCTAATTACTATTTAAAACAAAAGAACTCGAGAGACACATTTATTATAAAATGTTGATAAATATATAAAAACACTTGAAACCTTAGCTTCATAATAGTGTCCATTTAAAAGGTTTTTATTCACGTATTTTAATCACTTTTCGTCTTTCTCTTATTGTTTTAAACAATATTGTATAGCGCTTTAGTGACGCTTTTTGTTGACATTACGTTGAGAAGGTACAATAGGGCGGAAATTCATGTCACAGTAGCTTAATAACTTTTTCTTTAATACAGTTACAGAGGCGTATATAGTAAACAGATGAAATCTTTGCTGAATAAAGTCGCAAACAAAATACTTAAGTCCTAATAATAATTTTAACTATCAATTAAATATTAATTAATTAATTTTAGTATCGAAAAAAATCGAGATTACCAAAAGCTCGCTGAAAGAGAATAAATCATTTTTTTTAGAGAACTTGTTTCGAATAACAAGTTCCTTAAATATCCTAGTGTTATTCACAATAAGGATTTTTGTGTATTATAGAAGATACATTCAATAATAAAATTGGTCAAAGATTTTCGACATATTAGTCTCGATGTTTCTATTTTTTTTTTTGGTTTTATTTTACAGTTTAGAGATTGAAAATTTTGTCAGAAATATATTGTGTTTACGTCAGATAAAAATTTCTTAAAATTACATAAATCTGCTAGTTACAGACATCAGATATCTATAGTCAACTTTTTTCTAATTACATAGTAAAATTCGGATTTCTCAAAAACTGAGGGGATATTACAGTCAGATTACTTTCGAGTGATAATAATTATTTTTTTATACTGACGTGATAACATTTTTTTATTTACAAAATGATTTTTAATTTTATTAATTTCGGTAGAATATAATACAGTAATTAGGGGAAAAAAAATTATTACAACGACGGGATGGAAAGGATATTTTTTTTTAATTACAACGAGAATGTTGTTTTTCCTTGTTACATACGTGAATAAATAATACAGGTAAGCTTAAAATTAATCTAAAGATATGTTTTTATTAAGAGTTCGATTCTTGAATTTCTAGGTTATGTGCGAAGAAAAAAATGGAACTGAATGGTTTAAATGACGTGAAATTGGTAAAAAATCATTTTCGAACAGGTTTTTTTTTTCTAAATACAGACACTTTTTACAAAATCGGACAAATTATGTCTAATTTACCTAAATCCGAAAGATTTTTCTAATCTATGCAGAAATGCGGTTGCAAAACGGGAAAAACAACAGTAATGACAGGCGCAGGCGCAGTGCGGCAAAAAGTCTGTTACAGTCAGTTGCAAATAGAGGGCAGAAGCGAGCAGTGAGCATAAAGACCCAGCTGTCAAGATTCGCATTTCTACATGGATTAAAACAATCTTTTGGAGTTTTAGCAGGTAATTAAATTAAGAATATACGTGCTCACGGTTCGTAGTCACATCTTGTTAAAAGTATCTGAATTTAGAGAAAAGTTTGTTTAAAAATTGTTTACCAATGTTAACTGTAGATCGCACATAACCTAAAAGTTGAACCATTTTCTATTAAAACTTTGTTTTTGGGTATTATAAATATTTTTCTTAAAATAATACCTTTTTACAACATTTTTCGCAACGATTTTACTTCACGTTCTTCTTTTATGTAATCCAAAGTAATTAAGTTTTAACAATTTTCTTTTTATGTGAGTACAAAACAAATAATTGAACAAATATTGTCAATAATCAAAAGCGATGATATAGAAAACTTATTTATAATATTGAAACTTTTATTACAATTTTCTTTATTTGTTTGTTTGTTTATTTATTCATTTTTATGAATTCGATAACAAATATTTACCTTCTCTCATATTTGCGAGAAGAAAAATAATTTTTAATATTATTTTTTGTGTAAGAGTAAACTTGAAATAATTCTTTTTTAATTCATTTTTAAAAATGAATTTTTATTGTTTTTTTTTGTGTAAGAGTAAACTTGAAATAATTTTCTTTTTTGAAGAGAAAACAGTAGTAAAGATCGAGCCAGAAGAAATGTAGATTTTAAATTTCATCATTATATGAATGAGATCGCCTTTTGTATCTCGCGTAAAATATCAAAATATAAAACTTCATTCACGCATTACGTGTGCAAAAGTTCACGAGGTATTCCATTTAAGCGTATTTCGTGGTCATTATTTGCGAATAACCTTGAGAACTAATTCCACACCGCATTTTAGTAAAACTCTTCTATTGAGCTTTTTCCTTAATCTTTGTCCATTTTATTTC